GGCCACGTGAAGCATCACGCCCGCGCTGCAGCAGGGCAGGCGCCGCCGCGGTTGTGTAACGCTGCAGCCAGCCGGAGGGGAGGCGACCCGGACGCCTCTGCTCCGGAGGGGGCAGAGCAGGGAGGGAACTTGGGCACCGAGCCCGGTATCTTTCTGTGCTTGACTGGCCAGGGTGGGCGGAGGCGGGGGGGCGGCGAGAGGGTGCCCGCCCGAGGCCGAGCTCGGGGGAAGGAAGGGGCCCGCGATTCACACCCTCCGCGGTCAGGTGCGCGCGGCGTGCTCGGCCGCGGCCTCGGCTGCCCTGGCGCTTGGCCGCCCGCCGGCTTCCCATGGGGTGACATCCGCCCCGCCCCTCGGTCCCTCCCCAAGGCGGGCAATTCCTGGACGCGGGGCTGAGCGTGGGGGCAGGGACGCCGGGACAGAAAGAAACCCCAGCCTCTGGGGAAGGCAGGGGGCCGGCGATTCTCTCCGCTGCGCGCCGGCTCCTGGAGCGGGCCGGGCGGGGGAGCAGGAAGAGGGCTGGGCTGGAGGAGCGAGGGGATATTCCTCTCCCGGCTTGAGTCAGACGCGGGCGGATCCGTCCTCCCCCGTTCCCTCCCAGGAGACGGGAACTTACTTCATTTCCCTGGGGCAGGTTCGCCCACGTTACCACCTCTCCCCGTCCGCCCCCCCCCTCCGTTCTCCGGTTCCTTCCAGCTTCCGCGCCCCCCACCCAGCTGGGCAGGACTCGGGCCGCGCTGCCACCCCCTCTTTCGGGGAAAGGAGGCCGCAGCCGCAGACACCTGGGGGCCGGGGTTGGGGGTGGGGGCTCCCTCACAGCTGCCAGAGCGTTGTCCAACACGTGAGACTCATGTGATGAAGCAGGGGGAGGGCGGGCAGGTCTCCTTCCCTCCCCGGCAGCGGCCAGACGTGCCTGGAGTCACAGGGTAGAACACGTAGCTCCAACCCACCCACACGCTCCCATTTAACCCAGCCCGCAGCCTCTCCATTACTCCTCGGCTCTACCCGCCGCCCCGCACACCCCGCCTTAACCGCCCCCCCGCCCCTCCCTCCTCCCCGCCCGCCCCACTTCTCATTCACTTGGCTCGCACGGCGCAGACAGCGCTGGGAGCACACACCGCCAGTCTGTGCGCAGAGCCAGAGGCCGCGGGGACACCGGGCCATGCACGCCCCCAACTGAACAACACCTCAAAGCCACAGTTCCCAGCAGCACAGCGCATTTCAGGGAGCTCAGACTGAGAGGAACCTCTGCGGAGAGACCCCGGAAGCCCCCTCTAGGACAGTCCCTCACCTCGACGCTCTCCTAGTGCAGACAGGAGCGCGCAGTGGCCCCAGCTCGCCGTGCCATGGAGAGGATCCCCAGCGCGCAGCCACCCCCTGCCTGCCTGCCCAAAGCGCCCGTGCTGGAGCACGGAGACCTACCAGGGTAAGTTGGCGCACTCTGGTTCCTGCAAGCCTCCACTCCAGCCCTGTATTCTCTGCCGCTCTTAACTTGGAGCGGAGCAGCGCTGGGCGCATCCGGAGGTTCTTGCCTGATAGGGCGCCTGCAGCCAGTGCACACGCAAAGTCACGACCCTTCCTGGCCCCTCTCCCCACAGGATGGATTTTGCTCACATGTACCAAGTGTATAAGTCGAGGCGTGGAATAAAGCGGAGCGAGGACAGCAAGGTAAGCGCACCTCTGGGGACCCCCGCACCTCAGCCCCTTGCGCGCACTGAGTTTCCAAGAAAAGTTTTCTCGCTTTTGAGGTTGGCCGGGGGGGATGCACGATGTGGGCTCGGTACCACCTTAAGAGGTTTGGGGGGAAAGGGGCAGAAGGTGGCTTTGGGTGCGACTCTTCCTTGTCCGACTTTTCTTAAGCCTTGGGGCTCCGGGAAGGAGAGAAGCTTCGCATCCCCTTCCCTAGACACCCATCGTTTCCCGTGCGCCTTGCAGGAGACCTACAAATTACCGCACCGGCTCATCGAGAAAAAGAGACGTGACCGGATTAACGAGTGCATCGCCCAGCTGAAGGATCTCCTGCCCGAACATCTCAAACTTACAGTAAGTGAGAAGCTGGCCCCTCTCCAACCCCGCTGCTGTGTCCAAAGGGCGGGCGGGCGGGCGGGCGGCGGCAGCGGCGGCTGGCGAGGGGAATGGGGGGAGGGGGGTATCATTCGCCGCCTGCAGGCGCCGCGGGGAACTGCAGACTAGATGACCGGATCGGAACTGGCGGGTTGGCTAGGTGTTGGGGTACCCTTCCCCAGTTCTGGGATTTCCTGGCAGCCTCAAGAACATGAAGTGAGAACCTCTTAGACCGCTCCAGGTTGGCTCTAGCACCGCAGACCTTCCTTTTCAGGAGTTTAAGTCTTTCCCTTCTAGTGATTTTCAGGGTTTTTCAGTTTTCCTAATTTAAATGAGCAAGCCAAGCTACCTGCTGAGTTCACTTACCCGCTGCCTCACCTCCTTTTTTTAAACTAAGGGGACTTACTTTGATGTGTGATTTTTTTTTTTTTTTTTTTCCCATCCTGTCCTTTTGACTGTAGTCAGAAGCTTTCTAGCTTGGTAGCCTTTAATTGGGGAAAGGAAAAAAAAATAGTGTTTAGGGAGGAGGGAAAAAGCTTGCATGAGCCGCAGGTTTTGAAAGGGTGTTAGGAAAAAAAACTAGGGGAAGCCTCTTGGCTACCAGGCACAGTAAAAGTCCTTCCTTGGATTGACAGCACTGCAGAGAAATGTTATCTCCGGATTCCCCTGAGTTAAGGTCAGCAGCACTACTGGAGGAATTTATCTGTCAAAGCTTTCTTCTTAAGTAGTTGCAGCTTCCAAAATGCCTCCAAAGATAGATGCCATGTGTTTTTATTTCTTAATTGTATACAGTATATGTAATACAAACTTTACATTGTGCCAACCAGAAAAGACTATTCTGTTAGTGTGTGTGTGTGTGTGTGTGTGTGTGTCTTTGTGTCTTTAGAGACGTTCCTCATAGTGACAATAAGTGTGTCCCAGGAGTGGGAACATTCTGACCTCTGACCTCACCACTGACTAAGGCTCTTGTTATTCCAGACTTTGGGTCACTTGGAAAAAGCGGTGGTTCTTGAACTTACCTTGAAGCATGTGAAAGCGCTAACAAACCTAATTGATCAGCAGCAACAGAAAATCATTGCCCTGCAGAGTGGTTTACAAGCTGGTGAGTGCTAAGTCCGATTAGCATCTCTTAAAAGTTCAGTGCAAATAGAGAGCCCCTGGGCTCAACATTGGACGTGAGAAACATTCCCGCAGCCAATTGCTTGTGCACTGGGGGAGACACCTTTTATCTTTCCAAAAGGTCAGACTTTCCATTTGGAATGCTGCTGTGTGCCACCTGGCATGAATGCGTATTAGTCAAATGATAGAATGTTTCAGTGTGGCATTTTAGCTTTAGAGTCTCTGGGTTCCAGGAGATTTCCCCCACTCCCCTTTAAAATGCCAAGGCACCTATAATTTGCATCGTGGGTGTTTTACAGTTGGTCTCTTAGCCCTTTCTCATTGGAGAACATATCACGGGTATGCCCCCAGTGTTTTCCTGTTTCTTTGCTTGCTGCTCCACCGCTCACAGTAGGGTGTGATCCTGACAGGATGACAGCGGGAGTTTTTCCTGCATTTCATGCGGCTCCCTGAATAGCCATTAGGTATCTTGGTGAATTGTACAATCTAATGAAACCACTGAAGTTTCATCATTTTGCTTCTACTGACTTCCAGAGAATCAGACTCACCTTCCCACCTTCCTGTCTGACCCCTTCCAAATAATACTGTACAGTCGGTGGGGAATTCTACCCGCTTCCTCATCTATTCTCTATGTTCCTTTCCCAGGCCAATGTAATAGGAATCGCAAAAACCGTGCAAGTGTTTCTGCGACTCTGCTCATTTAAAATAAAAAGATGATTAAAAGTAATTTCTTGAGGATCGTGGATAGAATACCTGAAAAAGATTCAGAGAGCCTAATTAAAGTTTATGGGGGGGCTGCAACTTTTATAAGTCACTGAAAATAAGCTTACTTTGGGTCATAATTGTCCCTCCTTTATTTCATTTTATGGCTGCCTGACCTTGTTCATCTTGCCAACGATGAGATTGATGTTCATAAATTGCTTCTTGGGCTTATGAACACACCTCAATGTTCATTTCTATGTCGTATACAAAGAAAACTCAGAAACAATTTAAAAAACTCAACAAGAACAGAAGTAATTTCCGGTACCGGAAATGCCCCCCCCCCAAAAAAAAAGAAGTAGTATATCTCCTAATTATGAGATATCATGTGGCCATTCATGAAAAATCATATTTAGGGCTTGGAGGCTTAGCTTCAGTGAAAGAGCATGTGCTTAGGTGCCAGACCCTGTATTCAATGCTTAGCACCATAAAAAAATACCTCTCATAGGATTATAGATTGTTTTATTTTTTTACCGTTTTCAGTGTCATTGTTCTCTAAGCTGTGGCTTTCAGTGTTAGAAATGCAAATTGGCAAATGTCTTTTAACAAAAAGGAAAGACTCTAGTCTTTGTAGTAGAGGTACCCGGATACACCACAGGAGCATCTGAAATGTCTTCTTGGGTCTGTGTGTCTCCAGGTGAGCTGTCGGGAAGAAACATTGAAGCAAATCAAGAGATGTTTTGCTCAGGGTTCCAGACATGCGCCCGGGAGGTCCTTCAGTACCTGGCAAAGCACGAAAACACTCGGGACCTGAAGTCTTCCCAGCTTGTCGCGCACCTGCACCGAGTGGTCTCTGAGCTGCTGCAGGGTGGTACTGCCAGGAAAGCATCAGACGCAGCCCCCAAAGTGATGGACTTTAAGGAGAAAGCCGGTTCCCTGGCCAAAGGCTCGGAAGGCCCTGGGAAAAACTGTGTGCCAGTCATCCAGCGGACTTTCGCTCCCTCGAGTGGGGAGCAGAGCGGCAGTGACACGGACACAGACAGTGGCTACGGAGGAGAGTCGGAGAAGGGTGACTTGCGCAGTGAACAGCCGTACTTCAAAAGTAATCTTGGACGTAGGTTCAGCATGGGAGAACGGGTCAGCACAATTAAGCAGGAGTCTGAAGAACCCCCTACCAAAAAGAGCCGAATGCAGCTCTCAGATGATGAAGGCCATTTTACTAGCAGTGACCTGATCAGCTCCCCATTCCTGGGCCCACATCCACACCAGCCTCCCTTTTGCCTGCCCTTCTATCTGATCCCACCTTCAGCGACTGCCTACCTGCCCATGCTGGAGAAGTGCTGGTATCCCACCTCTGTGCCGGTGTTATACCCAGGCCTCAATGCCTCTGCTGCAGCCCTCAGCAGCTTCATGAACCCAGACAAGATCTCGACTCCCCTGCTTATGCCCCAGAGACTCCCTTCTCCCTTGTCGGCCCATCCGTCCCTCGACTCTTCTGCCTTGCTCCAGGCTCTGAAGCAGATCCCCCCCTTAAGCTTAGAAACCAAAGACTAAACTCTTTAGGGGATCCTGCTGCTTTGCTTTCCTTCTTCCCTACTTCAAAAAAACACACACAAATGTTTTTGTGAGTGCAGCAAGATTGTTCATTGTGTATACGAAGATAATCTGAGGCACAGAGAAAATGCAGGGTGTGTGCGTGAAAATGTGTGTGTGCGCGTGTGTGCCTGTGTGTTTGTGCAGGACATTAAAGCTCCCTTTGGTGTACGGAAGACACGAAGGACTGCTTGAAATCAGGAGATGTAGGGGAGGCTTGTAGCAGATCTCTGGGCCCTACCCAGAGAATAGCCCCCTTTGATACAAATCAGCTGGATTTTCGAAAGCTTCAAAGTCTTAGTCTGTGAGTCACTCTTCAGTTTGGGAGCTGGATCTGTGGCTTTGAGCAAAAGGTACTTTCAGAAGATGGTTTTCCAGAGCACAGCTCCCAGCCAGCTGTTAGGACCCCACCCAGCTCCCTTTATGGTGGACGTGACTCACCAGACAACCAGGAGAGAGCAGTCAGAACTTTCTGCTAAAGTGGTGAGGTAGCAGACACTGGCATAGCACGGTAGTGGTTTGGGGAGATTTCCGCAGGTCTGCTCCCCGCCCCTGCCTCAGATGAATAAAGAGAATGTAGTTCCCTACTCAGGCTTTCATAGTGATTAGCTTACTGAGGAACCGAAAATGCCCCCTTTGTATGAGTTGAGCTGCCAGGGAAGGAGGGCGGAGTTCCCCAGGCCTCTGGCACCTGTTTTTAGTCTCATCAAAAGGATGTGCAGTCCAGGGAATCAAATGAGGTCTGAAAGCATATGCCTCAAGCGCCCCAAAGTGCACAAAGCCTTTAAGGCAGAAGTAGACTCCGTTTAAAATTCTACCCGGAAGCTTTTAACCAAGCTTAGCTTCTCAAAGTCCTAACCAAGCCTTGGTACTGCAGGGTCATTTCTGTAGGCTGATTCCTCTTGCCTGACAGCATATGGAGTGTCCTTATTGCTAAGAGGGGTTCTGTCTCCTTCAGAGAAGTTTTATTTTTGATCCAGAGTTCTTGTTTCCCTGACCCGTCCAGCCGGCCCTGCACCAGCTTTCAAACTGCACTATGCTTGATCGCGGATCGTGTTTTAACTTCTTTTCCTGTTTTTATTTTGGTATAAAGTCGTTGCCTTTATTTGTAAAGCTGTTATAAATATATATTATATAAATATATTAAAAAGGAAAATGTTTCAGATGTTTATTTGTATAATTACTTGATCTACAAAGTGAGAAAAAAATGAATGTATTCCTGTTTTTGAAGAGAAGAATAATTTTTTTTTTTTCTCTAGGGAGAGGTACAGTGTTTATATTTTGGAGCCTTCCTGAAGGTGTGAAATTGTAAATATTTTTATCTATGAGTAAATGTTAAATAGTTGTTTTAAAATACTTAATAAAATAATCTTTTTCCTGTGGAAGAGAAAGATGGTCTGAATTTTTAAAGTAATTTGGCTGGGTGATATGACTGTCCCTCCTTTTGACTGACGGCAACAACTAGTTAATCTCGGTAGTTTCATTCAGCTTTTCATATGCCTTGTACTCAGATCGAATAAGCTTAGGTAACTTAGTAGGTAAGTATCGGTTTAGTTTGTCTATTTTAACTAACTCCTCCCAGGGATTTACATTGATTCTTATGCTTCTTTCCAGAGTTAAGCAAAAAGTACATTTTCCCCCTAGTCTGATTTAGACATGATCTTGACAGAAAACGAAGACATGAAATCGTGAGCTGAGTGCCTGGGGAACTTAGGGATATGTATACTGAGAAAAGACTGAATAGATCATTAGACACATAACTGTTGCTGGGCATAACACTTCTTTGCCAAAGCGGGCTGGCTTTTTCGAATCTAGCGAGTTCTAATGGATTTGCCATATCCTGTCTTACTAGTGCTGCAGGCAACATTCCATAATTATTTTCTACATCCTGCCTGGACTTCCTCTGCTTGGGTGTGTTTGTGCGTGAATGAATATCGGTGTTCCTTAGTCAAGTCCTCTTATTAAAAAAAAAATTCCATGAGAAAAGAAGTGGGAAATGACCCGGTCAAGTATTTTTGCTTCTCCTGGCACCTTGATTTGCAGCATTTCTCTCTGGTGCTCCCTTTCTTGATGGCCACAAGCAAAGAGTATCCAGAATCTTCCAGAATCCTCTGGTTGGCTGGAGTCCCTGCAGGGAAGCCACCCCCAGGGAATTCTCAACCAGACAGAGCCACCGCCTGCCTGTTAGGATTGTTTGCTTCAGATGTCACCTTCCCTGTCTCCTGGTGGCCCAGCAGGTGGAGTGACCATTTCCTCACGGCTGCTAGATGAAAAGGCCCAGTTGTCCCCGGGCCACTGGAGCTGTGGAAGGAGCCAGGACCTAGGGGACCAGGAGTGGAGCCTGGTGGTCCATCACTGCTTTCTCCTCGTGTTTTTGGATAAAATAAGGATTCCAAGCACTTCTCATGTGTCCTAGAGCACACCAATGGCAAATTCTGCTAGTCCGGCCTTGTGCCGGCTCCTGAGGGCTTGCACTTGCCCGTCAGCCGGCTGGGCCCCTGCGTCAGTCCAGGAGTTGCCAGACCTTCCCGGCGAGACCTTTTTGGTGAAAGCCCAAACAAACCAAGTTTACCCTGGTGCTAGAACACTGGGAGTGGCCGCACCGGGGACTGAAATCATGTCCCTTTCTCTTCTCTAGGCCGTGACTCAAGGAGCAGCAGTGGGGCCAGCAGGAAGTGGTTGGAGCAACCTGGACTAAAAAAAGATCTGAGGGTTCCACACATCCTCAACCCAGAATCCCCCTGCTGGAGTCTGCCCCATCCCAGCCCCGCAGGGCTGCAGCTGTCTGTCTGTCTCCTCTTCTGCCTCCAGGGTGCCCTTGACCTTGCTTCTTGCTTCTTGCTTCTAGCCCATTTTCTGCAGGATCCAAGTGCCCTCACAGGAAGGTGCGGGGACAAAGAGCACCTTTGTTTGAAAGGGGTGTGTGTGAGCCCGGGGGTGAAGCCCTGGCTCCGGGGCCAAGGGGAGGTGGCAGGAGGCAGAGCGGAGGCCTGGGATCTGGCGGCCTTCAGACGGGCGTGATCGCCGGCCCGCCGGGATGGTCTCACCCAGCGCTGACCTGCCTCGCCTGTTGACACAACGTCACGTTTCCGACTGCAGCCCTTTCATGTGCGGCCCGCGGCTAAATGCGGCTGCCGGTTCCTGGAAGCAGACGTGCCTGGCACCGCGTCAGCAGAAACCCGATCCCCGGGGAAGCTTGGCAGGGCCTCGGGATCGCTCGGCCCCCAGAAATAGGGCCTGGCAACGGCGCGGCCACAACCCCGCCCCCGCCCCCGGCCGGCTGGAGGGAATCCGAGCACCAGTGGGAGGGAAGGCTGGCGGCGTGGGGGGCGGGCAGCGAGCTGGATGCTGGGGCAAGGTCATCCCTATCAATGGAACCTGAGTACCTTGAAGTACTGTTACTGAGACGCTTATACTTTACATTGTGTGGAGAAATAAAAGCAGGCTCAGAGAGAGGAGGTGAGTTGCCCAAGGTCACACAGCTTTGGAGTGTCTGTGATGGTGGTTCGATTGGGTTGTGGCTCTTTTAAGCTAATGAAGATGAAGGCTTTCAGAGAGCCCGACTGTCAATAATCGTAATAATACAATACTGATGTTACTATTAGTGAGAATACCAGCAAGCATGTGTGTAGCACTCTCTATTTGCCTGGCACTCTTCAGAGCACTCCACATACAGTAACTTAATTACCACAGAAACTGCACAAGAGAGGTACAATTTCTATTCCCATTACAGTACATGAAATATAGGCACAGAGAGGTTAAGTGTCTGCTCAGAGCCACACAGCTCCAGTGGTAAATAAAACTTAGGCCCTTTATTAAGCATTTTTTGTGAATTATCTCTACTTCTTATAGTAGCTGTAAAGGTAGATTCTAACATGTCCCCCTTTTTAATTAAAAAAATATTTTTTAGTACTGGGGATTGAACACAGAGCCTCTTCAGTCCTTTTATACAATTGCTAGGCTGGGCTCAAACTTGCAGTCCACTTGCCTGAGCTCCCAGAGTCCTGGGATTATAAGTGTATACCAGCATGCCTGGCTTAAAAATTCTTTTTTAACATTCCTCTTTGGTAGCGGAGAAAACCCAAGCTCAGAGAGGGGAAATGCCTCATGTGAGGTGAACTATCATGTAGCGGACCAAGTCAGACCCTTTCTATGTTACAGATCTGCTTCTGAGCTGAGCTCCTATGAGTTTGGGCTTTGAGACACATTACCTCATTTAATCCTCTAAGTAGCCCTGTGGAGGAGGCACTTTGATACCCTCATGTGAGAATGAGATAACAAAGCTCAGGCTAAAGTTACTTGCCCAGCGCTTTATTAGCTTCCTTACAAATGCCCACCCACTCACCACATCATCCCACATCCAAGAATAAGTCCACTGTCTACAGGAACCAGCCACCACACAACGGGTCCATATGGTGGCCCCATAGGTTGAGTATGCTGAGAATGGAATCTGGGTTTGAGGAAACTACTTGAAGAGTTCTAGGGTGGGAGTGGGAGCCCTTTCCTCTCTCTTTCTCTCTCTGTTTTTGTTTTTGTTTTTTGAGACAGGGTCTCGCTATGCTACGTAGTTCAGGCTGGCCTTGAACTCACTATGTAGTTAGGCAGGCCTTGAACTCATGTCCATCCTCTTGCCTCAGCCTCCCGAGTGCTGGAATTATAGGTGTGCCCCACCACGCACAGCTCGTCTCCTCTCCTCCTCTCTCTCCCTCTCTCACTGGAGATTGAACCCAGGGCCTTGACACTGACCTGCATTCCCTGCCGTTTTTTATTGTTATTTTTAGGCAGTCTCCTTAAGTTGCTAAATCACCCAGACTGGGCTCAAACTTGTAATCCTCCTGCTCCAGCCTCCCAGAGTGCTGGGATTATAGTCCTGTACCAGGAGGTCTGGCTTTTCAAATCTCCCTTAGGAGCAGGAGAGGCACAGGTAGATGGGTGTAGGGCATAACTGTACATGGACCACTTGCGGCAAGAGGTTTTCAGCAGGGCAGGAAGGAGACCCAGATGCAGCTCCAAACTCCCCTGCTGGAAGGAAGCCTCGCAGGCTCAGAGACCGGGCCCTGAAGCTCCTGCCCCTCTCGGGGTCCCTCAGCCTGTCCATTCCCATCTCTGTCTCTTGGCTGATGCGGAGCAAGCAGAGAGGCATTTCCCTCCTGAGAAGAGGCCAGAATCTCAGGTAGAGCTTGGTGGGCCCCCAGGTCCTCACCAGGCCTCAGGAGCCTCTCTGGGCTCAAAGAGAGACTCCATGGAGTTCCCATGTGGTGTCCTACAAAGGCGACGTGTTGCTGGTGGGACCAGTCTGTTCTCTTGAAACCCAGAATTCCCTGCACACTGTCACATGGCGGGGAGGGAGGAAGGCTCTGGGCTTCTCACCCCTCTTCAGAGGAGGCAGCTTCCTTTCTCTCTGCCTTGTACATTGTAATGCTTTGCTGGAACGTGAGTTTACCGCTCAAAAAGCATCACTAACCAGTCCGGGAAGCACCACACTGTGGTGTCTTCCTCAGGCCTGCCTTCCTGTCACTTGATTCCTTCCTCAGGACCCAGAGGGAGGCTGAGGCCACTCAAAGCAACCCCCACACCCAAGCCTGCACCACCCTGTTTATCCAAAGCCATCTGGTGGGCCCAGTTGCTGCAACAGAACATGAGCCGGCAGCGCCTCTCCCGCTGGCCAGGGAAGCCACTGACATGCTGGTCTTCGGCAGGGCCATCCAGTCTTGTGATGGGGCTGGACCAGGGCCCAGGAGGTTTCTTCTGCTATAGTTGGGGCCCTCCCTTCCTGGGAGGATCTCAGCAAAGTCACAGAGGGGGGACATGAAGGCAGCTCGAAAGGGCGTCAGCCTCAATCTGGGACCTAGGGCATCAGGGCAGCCAGCTACCCTTGGGTCTTGGCCTGCTCTCCTGCCCTCCCACTCTCTTAGCCCACTTTTCAGTTGGTAAAAAGGAAGAAATGAGTATATTTACTTGTTTAAAAAGCAATTTTTAAAAAACTGAGCTGTGCATGGGCTGCAAAGGTAGGGACCATGCAAGGGTCACAAGGGTCACAAAGGAATTCACATAGGAGGAAAAGTGAAAACGACCTTTTTCAGAAAAAAAAAAAAAATATGTTTCTTAAATAAAATATTTTACATTTTGTGTCCTTTCTACTATGGAGAATTTAAAATGTA